TGAGTTTCTAGTCTCACTTGCTGCCAACATTGCGCAGCTGGCCCAAACGCTCAATGACAAGGTACAGTTGTCCTTGCGCTTTCCAGCGCTTGAGAGCACTTTGGACTCGAGCCGATGGCACGCTGTTTATTTTTGCGGCAGTTTGCCAAGAAATCTTCGATGAGAGCTTTTGGAGTACGCAGTTGAGTAATGCGCGGATCTCACTGTCAGGGTTTTTATGCGGCGGGGCGTTTGTTGCGAGCAAGGGCATGAACACATCCCAGTCAGCATCGGAGAGCTTTAATGGGTGAGCTATCGGTAGGCGTCTGCAACCTAGTTGAACAAGAGTACTGGAAGGTGCTTCCCCCATTTTGCATATTTCGCTGAGCCGCTTGACGACTCGGTCATAACGACCATCATTTCGCCATCGCGCAATTGTGGCTTCCGCTCGCTTCAGTGGAATGCCGTTCATGTCCGCAGCAATTCGCAAGGGCACATTGAACGTGATCCAATACCAAACGCAGTTAACCAGCGATCGACTATCAATGCATGGAGATCCTCGGTAATAAAAGTCTCGAAAAAAATGGCTAACGGAATGCCACTCTTCCTGTGAAAGCTCTTGGTATTTCGTATTGGGCGCTTTTTTTTGATGGAAATAGTCTGAAATGCTGGAGTTTTTACTTTCGCTTTCTCGCATCTCACGTAGTCGATTAATTACCCGTTCAATCCGACCGTCAGCTTGCCACCGCCTCATGGCGCTAGTTGCACTCCCGAATGAGACGTTGTTAAACTCTGCAGCAGACTTCCATGAAATATTGGTTGAAGTTCGTTGTAAGATGCAATCTACTAGTGAGCGTGTGTCAATGCCGGGACGAGATGTTTTCTGGTAGGAGTTAAATATGGGGACTATTCCGTTCCATTCTTCCTGAGTGAGTTTTTTATAGTGTTTATCATTTGAACTGCCAGCAGTAAAACGTTTGCGACCAAAGTGCTTTGATATGTAGGTAGGGTGACCGGTGGCAAACTCGAACGGCCTTTCGTGAACCTCAATGCTCTGCAATTTGAGCTGAGTTACATAGCTTATCGATCCGACTTTGAGTGCCCGCACTTTGACTGTCACTGTTGCTTTAGGGAGCTCGAAATGAAGAGCTCCTTTCCTTGCTGACTGGTAAACACTAGCCCATGCTCGACGAGCGGACGGGAAGCAATAGAACCAGGAGAGAGGTCCAGTCACAGTTTGGTTCAAACGAATTTTTTCACTCCCGCGGCCAATTGTTTGCACCATGTGACCGTCTGCGGGGCCAATGTACGTACAAATATCATCAAGTGATTGTGGTTTGAAGATCTTTTGAAGAAAAAATTTATTTGGATGTGCGAATGCACGAATCAGTGCAAGAGCTGGAATTACATACAAAATTCCGTCATCTATAATAGACCATGCGGAGTGATTATTTTTTTCAATTGTCGATTGTTTGAAAAAAACTGCATATTCGTGGAATGATATTTTGCTAAATTTCTCGAATTTAAAAGTGCAGGTTATTAAACGTGTTTTAACTATCGGAAGGCCGCGATCACCCAGTGCTTTGATTGGTACTTCTAAAATTCCGCCATTAGTTAATAATGTTGCAGTGTCACAATCAAGTCGAATGCTTGTGGCTAAATCCATTTTTCGTGAAGGGTGCTGCTAAGAAAATTAGAAGATATCTAAATGATGAGGCTGCAAAGAAATTTAGGGGTTTTGTTTGCAAATTTAGGGGGGACTTCGCCGAAAAACGATCTGAAGGTGTCGGCGGATAAGTGCGAAAAAATTGAGCGTACGGAGTGAAAATAGTCGCACCTCTGATCGTGATATGGCGGCAGATGGCCTTGTATACATCTTCGGTCTGCTTTCCAGTCAATCGATTTCAAAATGTGCACGACCTCGTATCCGAGGATTTGATAACCGTTGCTATTTGTTTTGATCTCGATATATATTAATCGGTAGATTGTTGCGACGCTCGGCCATTGCCCGGAGCTTCTTCGCGTGTGCTTCTCTTCCACCAGTTTTTCTTTGCGAAGCTTCTGACTTTTTAAACGCTTTGACCTGCTCCACTGTCAGTGGGAAGGATGATCTGTTGTGTCGGAAGAGTTGCCATTTTCCGGAGCCCTCAAACAGGCTGCGAATGGTGATGACTTCTTTGTGCCGTACAGCTGCTGCTGCTCGTTCTTGGACTTGAATGGCTAGCAAATGGTCTATAAGTTTTGCGTCATGCGGCGCTTTTCCAGGCCTGCGGTATTCAAATTTTTTGTTTCTAGTGCTTGGGTGCAGAAAAGCATTCATGAGAATATGCTTGATTGGAGAAAAAGGCACGCGGCCTTGTTTGCGAACCATGAGTGCCGGCCATGCATTCATCGGATTCGCATAGTCGCAACCCGCGCGCTGAAGATAGTCGGCACCTACCTCTTGACGAAGTTCGAACGCAATGCGGGCGCCAGCAAGCGCGCCATCAGCTCGTGTCAGCCCTAGTTCTGTAGCACGCATGCGGTACAAACTATGCCATTCACTGTGATGACTCCAACTACCCGAACATATTTCTGCTGCTGTTCTGGCAGTTCGCATGAGAATTTCGACCGGGCAAGTAAGGAGCATGCGGTAATTTGCTTGGCGATGGGGTAGGGGCATCTGCAGCTGTTGTGCAAACGTTTTGGGACGTTCTCCTGTTCCCCCTAGCGGCATGCCGTGGATTACGCAAATGTGAACACCAGGCAAACAGTGTGATCGGTGCCAGTAGCTTTCTCCGTGTGTAGACAGATCTTCTTCCGCGCAGTGACTGCAGAATCTGAATTCTGGCAATCCATGGGTGACTGATTTCACCAAAGAGGCTGTCGATCCTTTCTCTGCTGGACATCCCCAGAGTACCTTTTGCTCATAACGAGCTACCTCGGAGGCGGGCATGAATGCCACGATGTAGGGGAAAACTGTGTGCCTCCAGAGGAGGGTCTTTGCGTCTACGCGAGTCTGATCTGCTATTTGCGGCAAATTCGTCGGAAGGAATACTGGGTAGTTGCTTCTACCGGTCACCCCGACAAGCCTACTCAGAAGCCGCTTGGGAGCGAGCCCGTTGTGGATAACCGCTCGACCAAGAATGCTCACGATTAGCTCGTCTGGGTACGGGGATGGCAGGCTTAAGCCCCCCAAAGTGCCTCCTCGGGCTCTTGGACGAGTTTGAGAGCAAAGAGTTGTTCAACGATAGAGGTGTGCTTAATAGCTGCCTGCACTATGGCATGTCGGAGGTCGTCCGGCCGTTTGTCGATCCCAGGGTAAGAAGGGACAGTTGAATCTGGTGCCGTCCCTGCCTTCGTAACCTTCGCTGTATTGCGAGGCTTTTTGGTCGGAGACGCTTTTTTCGCCAACTCAGTCGCAGCGTCAAACATGTTTCTCGCTGTACCCGATGCCTCTATCTCCTCGGCAAATGCGACGGCATCTTCCGGGGGCAAGCCTAGCGCCGTTCCGGCACTAGCCAGCCGAACTTTGAAGTCCGGGCTTCCAGGGCGAGCGGATGCAGCACGTGCGCGCGTCAGGCGCTGCCGGCGGCCGAGACCTTCCAACGCGCTCTCGATGCTCAACGCCTTTACGTCCTCGAACTCCATCAGGGCAACGTGATCGTCATTGCGAAGTGCCTCGACCATCCGGTGCACCAGTTGGAACTGCTCGTCGTA